ATAACATTCCATATGCTAACATAGTAGGTTCTTTGATGTATGTTATGGTTTGTACTAGACCCGACATAGCATATGCAGTAAGTCTTGTAAGCAGGTACATGCTGAATCCTAGAAAGTCTCACTGGCAAGCATTGAAGTGGATTTTAAGGTACATAAATGGGTCTCTGAATAGAGTCCTAATTTATGGTGGAGCCTTGGGTGAAGATAGTAAAGCAGCAATCAATGGATATGTCGACTCTGATTATGCAGGTTGTATGGATTCCAGAAAATCTATCTCTGGATATGTGTTCACTATGTTTGGGACAACAATCAGTTGGAAAGCAACACTTCAGAAGGTCGTTGCCCTATCAACCACTGAAGCGGAGTATATTGCCCTAACTGAAGCTGTGAAGGAAGCATTGTGGCTTAAAGGTTTTGCAAAGGAGCTAAAACTTCAAGGTCGAGTTATCACTGTTAAATGTGATAGTCAAAGTGCAATACACCTGTCGAAGAATTCAGCCTATCATGAGCGAACCAAGCACATTGATGTGAGGCTGCATTTCATCAGAGGGGTAATCGAGCATGGAGAAGTCCAAGTGCTGAAGGTTTCGACAGATCATAATGCTGCTGATATGATCACCAAGACGTTGCCCAGTTGCAAGTTTTTCCACTGTATGCAGTTAATAAAGCTGCATGAAGAAAGCTAGTTTCTTGATGTCATAGAGTTAGATCCAAGGTGGAGATTTGTGAGATATTGGATCGAACTCTAGTATAGTCGAAGTCTGTTCGCGAGTAATGCGTGTTGCAGTAGAAGTTTGTTCTAACATGCATTAGTCAATATTGCTAGGGTTGTTAGCATGTTTAATTGGGCCTTGCTTGTAAGCCCAATTGTTTAAGTTAACTTGTACCCTAAGTTAGCTTGTAATGGGTAATTGTTAAAAAGCCCATTAGGTTAGTGTGCTATTTTATTATAAATAGGATGCTAGTTTCTCAATCTTGAGAATAAGGAAAAATAGGAAGATAAAATCCTAATTTCAAGGGAGAGAGGCTATTTTGTTATTCTTGTATACTTGTAATCTTGTTCTAAGAGAAAGGAAAGAATAGCAGTTTAATAACCAATCCTTGTTGTTCCTTGTTATTTTACCTTGTCTTCTTTGTTAACCCTAACCCTTGTGTGTTTCTTGATCATTAAGAAACCATTTATACTTTGTTTAAAGGTATCCGATTCACAACAGTTTCAACTAAAATGTATACCTTCCTATTTATTGTATCCTTTCACAGTATTATTTTATTTCTTAAATTAGTTCCATTTTTGTCAAGTTTGTTGCGAAAGACCAATTTGGTCGCAATCACTATATTAGATTTATACTTGAGAACAAGTTCCTACATATTGTTTCTCTCAAATTGATTTAACTCTTTAATAATAAGAGACCAATATTCATCAATGATATCTTCGTTGATGTTCTTTGCCTTAATTTGGAAAACAAAAACCATTAATTATATACTTGGCTAAGAGAGTTTCGAGTGGTAACTCCCTTAGATATATCCCCTATCACGTTTCAGATTGGATAGTCTTTTGTTGTTCCTTATTCGTTGGGTAAATGTTGATTGTCTTTGCTTATTTTTTAGATTTGATTGTTATTTCTATCTTCTAATTGATTTTGTATTGAATTTGATATTTATCTTGATTTTCTTTCTCAATCTTGATTTTCCAAGAGAGTCTTCTCTAAAATACTTACACAATTGAAAACTTCTACCTATACAAACTTGGAGTTAGTTTCATGAAAGATAACATGAATTTATTCTTCTATAATTAGGGTCCATTTATTAAAAATTCTAAAAGCTTTACTATAAGTATAATATTCTAATAATAGACCTTCGTCAGCTTTAGTGTTAAAATTTTTCAAGGTTATCTTTCTTGTTATTAAGTAAAATCACTTGCATCCAAAACACAGAGGTAAGAAGTATTATTCTTTCTTCCTTTGTATAATGTGTAGCGCGCCAACTTTATAATTGTCTTATCAAGACACGATTCACCACATATCAAGCAATGCTTATTGAATCAACACATAAATACTCAGGAAGGTTGGGTTCATTGAGAATCATTCTTGCTAGCTCTTCAAGATCTCTATTTTTTCGTTTCACTTCCCCATTTTGTCGGGAAGTTTGTAGAGCAGAGAAAGTATACAATATGTCATAGTCATGATTAATCATTTTTACTTAAAGTGTGGAACCATGCTTTGTAGGTTATTAATCAAGGAAGTTATATTGAAGATGAACATTCTTTTGATGATGACAACTATTGAATAAGAACATTTTTTTGATAATGACAACAAGTCTTTGATGATAACTAAAGACAAGAGAAAAGTGGTTAAAGATACAACCATATCAACAGGATTTGGTAAACCTGAGTCTCTGACGATGGTACCTAAAAGGAATATAACTCAAACCTCATCTCAAGTAAAGCTCAAGCAAGTGTCCACAATATGGAAGTATTTGACAAAGTTTTGAAGTATGTGAAAGTCATCCCAAATGCGTCTAAGTAAACATACACTGTAAAAGCATTAGGGTTTTCTCGTAAAGTATGCGACTAATCACACACACACACACACACACAAGTTTTTAAACTTAGTTTTCTCAATAAAATACTTCCAAAAATACCTTGAAGTTGTGCCAAATGAGTTGAGAGTTGTCAGAAAAGCTATAGGCATATTTTTGTCTTTGCCGATCAATTGACACTTTATCCTAAGTTATTAGAAGAGTTAAAAAATGTTCCCTAAGTGATTAGGACAACATCTTAATGATAGGTAACGACTATATATATATATATATATATATATATATATATATATATATATATATATATATATATATATATATATATATATATATATATATATATATATATATATATATATATATATATATATATATATATATATATATATTTTCTTACATTTTTAAACTTACTAATCGATTAATTTTAGGCCAACCAATCGATTGGTCCATGATGCCAATTGTTTGGCTTATCAATTATGGCCCAAAAACTTTTCTTTTTTTGTACCAACCTCTAGCCTATTAAAAAAAGGTCTCTTCCCACATATTTTCACATCCATAAACATGAACTTTCATCCCTCCACTATCACTCTCTCTCTAAAAATATTTATGTTTACTTTCTCTCACTAAATTTAGTCGTATTGCATTCGAGAAAGTTGTTTTGTGAGTGAGGAAGTTGTAATTCTAGAATGGTAGATTTGTAAATTTACAAGAAAAGTTTGTTTTTATCATGGTTGAAAAATTCATCCTTTTAGAGATTGGTTTATTTTGGGTTCAATGTTAAACTCTAAAAAGCTTGGTTTTGGGATTTAGTTTCTAATTTTCTAGTTTGGTTCAAAAGCTCAGCTCATTTATAGGTCTTCAAAGGTTTGAGATCAGTCCGGTGTTAAAATATCACATGTTCTTGGTTAGTCCGGTATAAAATCAAGGTTCAGTTCAAGTTCAGCCCGATGTTAAAAGCTTGGTTCAATTTGAGGTCAGCCCGATATAAAATCTCCTAGGTTCATGAGTTCAGCCCGGTGTTAAAAGGTCACCCATGTTCAAGATCAGCCTATGTAAAATCTTGGTTTGAAGTTTGAAGACTAACCAATCTATGTTTCTTGTGGAAAGGACTAACCGCTTCGATCCATTATTTGGAAGGAAGACTCACTATTTATCTTCCATCGTCTTTGTTGTTTTATTGAAAGTTGGGCATAAACTTCATTTTCCTTGTGTAAGGAGGTTCGAGAGTTTAACTTACTAAAAACTCTTAAGTTTATTTGATATTCTCAAGATCAAATCTTAGGGATAAGAATAAGTCGTTTTTTTATTAAACCTGTTTAATTACTGGTATTCTATCTCTTTCCTTAACCTTTTAGTTTTCGCAGGCTATTCTCAAATCTTTTGAAAAAAATTCGAACGCTGATTTTGATCCAAAAAGTTTTTTCAAACCTAAGTTTTTCTGAAACACACAATTCACCTCTCTCATGTGTGTGAAGTCACATGTCCAACAAATGAGATCAGAACCTAACTCTTGTTTAAGCACTAATCATACCAGGAGGAATAGATCTTTTCTAAGTACACCTCCACCTTTTAATAGTATTAAGTTTGAACTCTAGAAAGCTAGGTTTATAATTTTTCAAGAAATATTAATTATGAACTATGGGAAATCATAACCAATGGTATGTTTATCCCTACTTACCAAGTAAATGGAAAAGTAGTAGATAAACTCTATTTCCTCTGGACCGGAGAAGAAAAGAGAAAACTTGAAATAGATTTCAAAATCAAGAGTTTTATAATAATGTCTCTAGATGATAGTAAATTATTTTATTTTCACCATTGTCAAACTGTCAAAGAAATGCAGAATACTCTTAAAATGATGTATGAAACTTTTCCATCTATCAAACAAGAGGAGATGAACACACGAGGTAAAGAAGATGATGATATGCCTTTAAATATTTTTAAAAATTTATAAATATTAAAAATTATATTAGAACATTTTTCACTAACCAATGATTGTAAAAGATATCTAACCAGAAAAAAAAAATTAAAATTTAAGGAATGAATATAGAAGATGAGCACAATAACATAACCTTGGAGATATAATTCAGTTAACCTTGGAAATATATATAATTCAGTTAACCTTGGAAATACAATTCAGTTGTGGATTGAATCAGATATTTTAATAATATTGTAATTCATATCAATGTAAACCATACAATGTTGGAAGGAAAGAATTAACTAGTAACAAAAACATGACAGAATTCATTATAAATAAATAAGTACATAATCCTTTAAAATTATGATACGACATTGTTCATTTACTTCATGTTTAAGATGCTCATGAATAAGATTTCTTTCAAACCAATAACTAGTAATAGCAACATGACATAAATTGTCTCGATGCTCATGAATAAGATTTCGTTCAAACCGATAACTAGTAATAGCAACATGACATAATTCATGGATTTCGTTGTCTCTGAGATTTAACCATTTATATGTGATATTTTCGTATCTCCATTTCTAATCTGAAAATTACATAATAATCATAATATTAGAAATTCACCAGACATATAAAACAGGTTGAAAAAAAGAGGATTACATATTATGTTTACAAAAGTCAAACCACTAGTTTATTTGAGATAATTTTAAGTGTATAAACACAAAATATTAATTTGTTAAGATTGATTTACATATCACTATTTAGAAAAATATATTATTAAATTCTAACATATTTAAAAACTGACCAACCAAAAAATAAAGGGTTGAATAACTCACTATTAGGGAAAGTTTTTGGAGATGTTGAGAAGGCATTGCAATATCCAAAATCCAAAAGTAGTCCATATTAGGATTATATGCTCCAGCAATATATAATTCTAATTCATCAAGTTTTCGAGATTGAACCAAATATTTCTTTATTAACTCAGATATCTGTTTACAGCAACATTTAAAGTGAATTAAAAACAATTATTGAGAAACACATAAACATCTAGCATGTGTGTGTTTTGAATGACTCACCTGTGAAAGACTCATATGCATAGGGAAATTCTCAGGCTGTGGAAGACTCGGCGTTGCTAAATTCTCAGGGTGAGGTAATCTTGCAATTGTAGCAAAGTTATATATATTTATCATGTTAAAACCTGCATCCCAAAAAACCTTCAATAACTTTGGAGCCTCTATAGAGATCATGCTCCTCATCTTCTTGAAATCTCTATATTCAAAGGATGAGAGATTCAAAGCATGAATATCGATCTTACAAGAACGGAAAGTCACACGGTGACAATGAATTATTCTCAAACGACGCAACTTTGCACTGATAATTTTTAAATCACGCGTGAACCGGCACAGGTTAATGGTGACATCTTCCAGTTGGAGACATTTAGAAAACAAATGAGCTATGTCATAATCTAGAAAGAGTCCATACAACACAATTGTTGTAACATTTGTCAGTCTAGAAGACTCAAGATTAAATAGTTTAGCACAAGTGTAGGTAAGCTTGGATAACATAGGAGAGTTAATGCTCAGTATGTGCAATCTGTGTGAAAAATAGATATCCTTGGAAGTATATTCAATGGATAAGAGATTTGATGCAGTGATATTAATATTTCTCGACTCTGTCCTCGTGGCACTGGTACTACTGCAGTCGATGTTCAAATGAAGCAATGTTGGACTAGTTATTTCTAAGTCAGATAGGAACTCACATTCATTAAGAGTGAAGTTCTCAAGACGGATGCAGTTAAAACACAGATTCTGAAGCATATTCTGCTCCACAGGAACTAAAGTACACACAAGAGTTCTCAAATTCTCCAATCCAGAAAATTCCATAGTTGCGGCTATATGGCAGTTCTGTAGGTGTAGATATGTGAGAGAATTACGGCCAGGCAAGAAAGGAAATAAAAATTTGTATGGCTCTATTTTTAAATGAGTTTCATATGCGAAAAGCAGCTCAATACGATTGGCTCCCTTAAGAACTGCTTTGTGAATCAATCCATCAATGGCATAAGTATGATCGGCACCTAATGGAAATTTTACTCGGATTGAACTGATCGTGTCACCGGAATATTTCTGCATGAAATTATCCAAACTTGTCGCAAATTGAGATTGGATCTGTTGAAAGTGTGGAAGGGTTTTCGGTAACTTCGGAATTCTATTATAATCAAGGATGTTATGGTGATCAAAATTGAGGTCCTTTCGTAATCCCCATTCGTGATACCATTGTTTAGACAATGCACTGGTTTTCACTAAATTCTTCAAAGTTAACATGGAAAAGATATGTGATATAACACAATCAGGCAACTCGGTTGACTCACTCTTGAGTTTTTTAACTCCATTCATTGTTGCTGCAATGCAAACAATAATGAACAACAGACTTTACAATCCGAATTTGAATGAGCATGCATAACCAATCGGAATGATAATGCAGCGTATAGTAATTATTATTATTGTAAAATATCATATCCAATTAGAAGCTAGAAAAGAAAATTGAGTTGCATGAATGAAGACCACATACCTCAGAAGTGGAATGGCGGTGGAATCTACCTGACTTTTGGTGGTCGAGATGCTTTGTGTTCTGGATGGAAAACCAGGAGAAGTAGGGTTTCCATCTGTCTGATAGGGTTTATTTCTTTCACTTTAAATTTGTTTTAAATTTGTTTTTGTGAAAATATTTAAAATCTCCCATCTAATGGGTTGATTGGGCAAGGCCTCCTCTTGGGTTTCCACGGCTGTTTATTAGGTCGTTTCTAGATCCACTTTATATTTAAATTTGTAAAAAATCACTATTATAAATACTAACGTCGTCCGTCTGTCCGCTTTTTTAATACGCACGAATGAAAATATAAATGATACTTTTTGTTTGAATAAAATTTTAAAAAAATATTTATACAATATATAAAATAAATACTTTGTTTTGTTGTGACATGTTTTTTTTTAATCATTTTTATTCTTATTTTATTGTACAATTTTCTTAATAACAAAGTATTTTCTTTATATATTGTATAGATTAAAGTGAGGGTTAAATTAATTTCTTCATCAATAAAATAAAAAACATACATAGTCAAATTTATTTAACGTTTTAAATTTATAAGAATAAAATAAAACTACTTACATATGTCCATGCATGATTTTGTCCATACTTCTTTCTCCATTTGGGCAACTGTCTATTCTTTAATAGAGATTTTTATTTATTTAAACTTCTCTTAAAAAGGTAACTAAATATAAAAGGCAAATTCTTAAGAATTCACGATAAATAGTTGGGTATCTTTATTAGTAGTGTAAATTGATTTAAAATTTTACTTTATTTTTAAATAAAAAATATATATATAAAATGATATGATACTAAATATAAATGTTCTATTAGATAAAAATATTGATATCCAATTAAATTCAAGAGTATTAGAGTGTTCACTAATATAAATTTTTTTTATTACTTTATTGTTTTAGAAATGAGAATTCACTCTTGTAAACCAATGACATTTCTTTTTATACCAATCATATAGAAATTTTAAACTACTTTATTCTAGATATGGAAGACACATGAGGCTTGTGTGCAAGAGATATAAGTGTTTTCTCATATTGTACCAAAACACAATATTTTTGATATGAAGTATTATTCACAAAAATACAACTGCATACTAATCCGACTCTCAAAAATCTATGAGACGATTGTTATTGCACACATATTTCAGAGATCCTACAATTTATTTGAATAAAGTAGCGCCAATCTTATCTTCCTATCCATGTTTCTTCAATTTTAAATTTGGTTCGACAAGCAAGAATGCCAGACTCGAGTCTTTCATCATGAATCTCTTGAATATCTCTTTGATATACTTTCTTTGATGTAGCATTATACCTTACTTCAACATTTGAAATTTCATGCCTATGAAGTATAACAACTTTCCCATATTCGACATTTCAAATTCTTTCTTCATGAACTCTTTGACCTTGGACAAGTTCTCCAAGCTATTCCTAGTTACTAACAAGTCATCGACATATAAGCAGGTGATTGTTATATCTTGTGCCACAACCTAAAGATAGATGTAACACCCTACTTTCCCCATTCATTTTATTATAAAAATAGTTTGCGGAATAATCAGAAATACACAAGTAGGATTCCACATCCCTTAAAACTCATAAAGTATCAAGTCACTTTATATCTTTATTCCTCATAAAAATAAAAATAAATTAAACAGCGGAATATTTAAATTGTTCACTGCAACGACACTAAGGCATTAACAACACATAACCTCCACAAAACTCATGGCTCAACATAATTTGGAAACAAGATATGTAATGAATGAAAAACAACACAAATAATAATAAATTTCCATCCTTCCCGTGTTAAGTATCAGAGCGACTCATAAGACTCGATCAATAGCAACACACGCTCCACACACTACTCAGGTATCTGATTATCTGTACTCCCCGAAGAGCACAAACACAACAACAGAAAAGGGGTGAGAATTATATTCAATAATTACACGAAGAAAATCACATGCTAAGGAGTACTAATCACACAAATCACGCCAATCAGACAATTATCATACACGCATAAGTGCCATAATAATATTCATCATACTCATTTCATGTACATGCAATGTGACTCAACCGACACTACACCATGCATGTAGTACCAACACAATCCATACAGTTCATTCTATGAACCCAATTTCCGTCAGAATCCGGATAAGCCTTATACGTTCCTCTGAACTACAACTTATCTCCAACTTAACTCCTTCACAGAGTCCAAATGAGACTAGGCACTCATCATGGACTCCCACCTAGGCTCATCTCCATATGACACGACATGAAAATGCATGACATACGACTATGCATAATGCAATACCATTAATGCACAACACACGATCCACAATCAACAATGATCACACGTGAGTCACATACTCACCTAATTCACTCTAGAATTACCATCCTTGCCCAAGACTGTCCACACAACAATAATCTCATCAACATAGGCATCAAACTACACATCACATAGAAATCCTCACAATATTCCATGTTTTACCATATTTCCTATCACTACTGGTCCTCCTATATCTACTTATGTTATATTAGTCTTACGAATCAAGAGGAATTGTATTACACGCCAAATCAGGAAAGAAATCACAGAAACTGAAAAATTACAACACAAGCCTTGCCCCCTCGCCCCAATCCTCGTGTATGCTACGCGTAGGGCCCAAATGCCCAAGCATCATACGCATAATACCCCTTGCCTTACGCATACGACTACAATGGGATTTCCCTCAAAAATCATCCCAGAAATCCTCGTAAGCATAATGGACTCACCATATGTGTATTGCCCCTTCAGTAACATGTATTGGGCACCCCCTTACGCATACCAGCAGACGGGTGGGATGACCATGGGGACAGGGCGTGTATTGTATGCATAGTGCCCCTAAGAAGTCCCCTCATATGCGTATGGCCTCTCTGCATACGCGTATGGGTAGTCTGCAACAAAAAAATTATGTTTTCGCATCAGTGCGATTTTCACCCATTAGAGTACCTTCAAGCTCCTAATTTTGACCCAAAACAGAATTCATACCAGTATATTCCTAAAGACTTTACTCTACTTCATTAATCTAGCATTCTATTAAGGTTTTCCATGATTTAAGTCATAATTTCGTCAACTCCCAAATCCTATATTTTCCATATCTGTTTTCATGGTAAAACACAACAACAATTCACACTTCTCATGAATTTCACAACATTATCAGTACATAGAACACGAATTCAACAAGGAATCACACAGATCTGGAATCAAACAAAATAAAGATAATAATATGCATAAAATCCTAAGAGGGAAAGGAACCCTCACTACCCTCTCATGTTCAGATCACCATATAGAACTCATTCTCCCCCTTACCTTAATTCTTAGCTTGATCTCTCTAACAATGGTGATGAACGCTTGATCTCCTCTTGCCCTAACTCTTCCTTCTTCTTTCCTTTCTCTTTTTACGTGAAACTATTTTTCTAAACCTCTTTACCACTTCTCCCTAATTATGTTTATTTTTCTTAATTTTAATAATAATAATATTAATACTAATATTACTAATGGTAATTACCCCATATAACTAATAATATATTTATAATAATAATAATGATATATTTCATCCATCACTAATTATATTATTATTTTAATATTATTCTAAGGTCTTAGTCCAATTAACTAATTACACTAAGTTCTCACACTCACCCTTATACACATACCTATAATTATGCCAACGCCAATAACATTGTATAAATAAAACCACAGAGTGACTAAATATTTAAATGGTGTGTTACAATAGACACCATACTCATATTTACTTTTGATGAATCCCAATTCTACCAAGTATGATTTGATCTTCTTGTTCCATACTCTAGGTGCCTTCTTGAGACCATAGAGAACTTTGTACAACTTGTGCACTTTCTTCACTTTCTCTTATATCACAAATCCAGGATGTTCGAAATACTTAACTTCATTTAGAGGACCATTCAAAAATGTTGATTTCGCATCTAAGTAAAATGTCGACCAACCTTGCTTGCATGCCAAGGCTACCACCAATCAGACAGTCTCCAATCTTGCTACTAGTGCATATACTTCAGAGTAGTCGAGTTATGCTTTTTGAAGAAATCCTCAAGCAACTAATCTTTCCTTGTGTCTTGCAATCGATCTATCAGGATTATGCTTCAGTTTGAACACCCACTTCACTTTGATAGCTTTTGTGTGTGCTGGAAATTCGATTAGCTCCCATGTATTATTTCTTTTGATAGCTTTTAACTCTTTAACCATAGCTTCCTTCCATTGTTTATATTTGAAGCGCTCATTATATTTGATTGGTTTAGCACCTACAAGTAACGCGAAATGAACCAAATCTCCAACTAGTATGACTTCATCATCACCAATCACTTCACAATCTTGAAGCCTTGCTGGGATTACTCTGGTTCTTTGAGGTCTTTAGCTTGTGCTAGCCACGCCTTCTTAAACTTTGAGGTGTTTGGAATATCAGCAAGTGCTTCGAATTCGACTTTGTCGCTTCCGCGAAAATAAGGTGCCGGCAAAACAGAAGAGTCGCCACCTTTCGTTATTTATCCCTCAGAACGGGAAAGGAAACGATCGGAAAAACCTGACGAAAGGGTATAAGACAAGGTCATCGCAACCAATGTCTGGGTTCGAGAGTCGGTTACGCAAGGGGAAGGTATTAGCACCCCTCACGTCCATCGTACTCGATGGGATCCACGCTTGTTGGTTTGTCTACGGGTGAAAAACAATCTATCTACGGCTGCTAAATCTAAACAAAAAGAACTGACTCGATAGAGCGTCGCGCTCTATGCCTACG